GTTGCCAGACTCAGATTGGCTTTCTCATATCAAAGAGTGGAAGATCTTGTATATCTACCATATTTTGAGACAAGATGCAGCAATTATTTAGAAAAATAATTAATTTTTTATAATGTAATCTGAAATTTAAAGTTTCCATTGAAAATCTATTGCTTAAAATCTTCTCTGCTTATTGTAACTCTTGTACATCTGGCATGTTAAACTTAAAGAAAATTTTAACCTTGGAGAGTGGACAATTTCTAAAAAAAAATTCCATATAACCAAACTTGGGATTTTTAGTATTGATCATAAATCCATGTTTATAATTATATTGTAATTTATATTGTAATTATAGGCCTATTGTATAAATTATATTGTAATTTATATTGTATTATACATTAAAGCTGTTATGTTGTCTCAAAAAAGCAGAGAATTTCTAGCTCAGATTTACATTTTCAAAGGTGGATTGGCAATTATGAAGAAGGCATATAGATTCAATCTGTAATCTTCTGAATAAGAATATTTAAAAAGTTATAAAAGTTTATGTTCTTTGATTTCCATTTTTCTTAAATCTAGTTAAATTGTTTATCAACAGTTTTTATATACTGATTCTGCAGATGTAAAGACCTATAAGACAAGAAGCAGTACCTATAACATAGGGATAAAGGACTGTAAAAATTTTTTAAATTCATTATATGAATAGTTTATTATTTTAAAAACTGAAAACTGTATAGTTGTAAACCTTATATTTTTGATAATTTCAGTTAATTATATTTAAAAAACAACCAATCAAAACTGGGTAAACTTAATGACAACAGCATCTAAATATTATTTATATTACAATTAAAACTCTTACAAGCAAAGATCCATAGATTATATTTGAAAATATCTAAATTATAATATAAATGTATATATATATATATATCAATGTAATAACTAGTTTTATTTTTAAACAAATGCTGTATGATTTAGTCAAGTTAACCTTTGTTGGGCCTCAAAATTAATGAAGCTAGGATGTCCAGATGGCCACTTTTAAACTAGAAAAGTTTGATGTTTATGCATCTGCAACTCCTCTTCCAACAGAAATCATGCATATCTGGTATTTTTGTGAAACCATCTGGCAATCATATTTGAGACAGATTTATTGTTATGTTTCATCAAAATTTTATAGAATGATAAATTCATATTCAAAAGCAATTACAGAAATAAGTTCTATAAATTATTACTTTAAATAAATTTATGTAAAAAAGAATGCTTTGTATTTACACAAATTGAAACAGACTTTGTAAAAACAGTTTTTTGAAATTTTCACATTCATTATTTTTAGTAAATCAATTTTGTTTTTTGTTTGTTTTAGATATTTTTGCTGTTTAATCAATTTATATGCTATTTATTTTATAGTTCATTTCCTACAGTTTTTATTTTCTATATTTTATATTTACAGAGTAAATTGTCACTATTAATGTAGTAAATAAGTGAAAAACTTTTGTTTCAAGTAGTGACGTACCGTGGGTGTCAGCCGCCTGGGGCGGAGGAAAATTTCAGTCCCCCTTATTTAGGTATTTCAATTTAAAAGACCAAAATTCAGTTTTGTCACAGAACAAGCAATGAAAAATTCGTAGTAGTGCAGCGACCTGTTTAAAATAGTTCTATTGGATATTAGTGGTGTATATGAATGCAAATGAATCGTACAAACAAAAAACAAAAAAAAAAAAGGTCAACAGGTTTTGCAGGAATTCCTCAGATGAAAATGGTACTAATTCTCGGGCTGTCCGGACGATAGCAGTATCGTACGCACGATGCAAGTATAGATTAGGATGTTTCAAATTTTTACAAGATATTATTATTATTTATTGTGAAATTTTGCCGCCCCTAAAAAGTGCCACCTGGGGTGGGCCGCCCCTGCCGCCCCCGCTACGGTACGCCACTGGTTTCAAGTCAAAGGTGATCACTATTAGTATAAATACTATTGGTTAATTTTTTTATTTATAAGGAATGATGAAGAGAAAAAATGTATCAATGATGCAAATAAATTTGTTTGTTATGAATGTTATAACATTTTTACACAAGCGAGAATACTATAATGTCTGACAAGAAAAAATTTATATTAAATATAAATGTTGAATCAAAATATAAATATAAAAATTAGTTGCAAATATTTTTGGAATTGATAATTATATTCTTGGATGATGATAAATGTACAATGTTTAAGTAATGCACATTTCAATTTACCAACATTACTAATTCATTAGGTATTTCTAACCTAATGAAGTAGTAATGTTGGTAAATTCAACAAATTTACATTCTAGGAAAATAATGACATTAGAAAATTACTTTCATTGAATGAAATGAAATTAGGAATTTAATTTTTGATTATTATTGATTCAAAATTAAGTCATCAGTTCAAATAATCTACATCAAATGGGATGAAACTTCTACTCACAATACGCATATGCATATTACATTTATTTATAGTTGCAATTTTTATCTTTATTGTACAACAACATATAAGTTATTAGTTCATTTGTTGAATGAAGTAGTTATAATCAATAAAATAAGAAAAAAACAGCAAAATTTTAAAACATTTTAATCAGAATTTTTACTAAATTTTATTAATTTTAATAAAAATACTTCTTAATAATACAGTAGTAATCAATTTTACACTCCTGATTATTAATTAATTAATTTATATTCAAAATTAATTAATTAATAATCAGGAGTGAAAAATTGATTACTACTGTCATGTCATGATCTATATAATTTATTATTATAATATGAATATAATAAAAAGTTATAGAATTATACTTAAGTGTAAATTTTATTTTCAGATCGATTCTTCCAAATGGTTCACTTTACTTTAGTAGTGTGTATCACACTCGTACAGAACGTCCTGATGAAGGAGTGTATCAATGTATTGCTACTATTAAAAATGTTGGCACTATTGTTAGTCGTTTAGCTAAACTTCAAATTGCTTGTAAGTCTCAAAAAAAATTCTCTTTATTAATATTTTTAATTACAATAATTTCAATTTATATTTTTAAAATAACTTATATAGTTGACATTATATAGAATTATTCAATGAGCAACATGTACTATAATTTTATGATTTTGTTGAAAACTGTCTTCCATTATAATTTATTACAAAAATTATAACCAATAGCATTTAAAAACAAGCATTAGATTTTTTAATTATTTGTATAAAAAATTTATTTTTAGCATTGCCCAGATTTGATGAACAACCACGTGACATGACAGTATTTCCTGGACAGTCTGCTTATTTTCCTTGTGCAATACAAAGTATACCTCCTGCCATTATTTACTGGTTGAAAGATGAGCAGCTATTTCAGTTGGATCATTCTCGAATGATTGTCTTGCCAAGTGGTGCTTTGGAGATTGATCATATTCAGGCCACTGATAGTGGTACATATCGTTGTAATGCATCTAATATCGAGAAATTTAGACTGAGCTCTGCTGGGACACTTTCTGTCAGTTTAGATTATGGTAATTTGTATATTATTCTTACTTTAAAATCAATGTTTTTAAGTTTTAGTGTAATTTAATGTAATTTCATGTAAAATATTGTTAAGTGCCTTTTATTTTGTTAGTGCCATTATATTTTTAAATAACATAATCAAATATCTTAAAATTTAGTTTCTTTCAAATTAATTTCATTCTATTCTCTTATTATTATGGAATTTTTTCAATTGTAATTTATTTTATTGTTAGATTAACTATTTTAGAACAATGAATGTCAAAGATAAAACAAATGATATCAAATAATTATTCATATATTAAATTTCTTAATCAGAACAAATTTAAATAAATATATTTGATTTGCATTGTTAATTAAATAGTAGACTGATTGTCGTTAGTAACTTAACAATGTAAAATAAATAAATTAATTATGAAAAAGTATCAAAAATCACTGGGTTATAATTACACTAAAGTAATTTAATGATTAAAGAATTTAAATAGGATAATATAATCTGCTAAAAATTTTAATAGTTAGTAAATATATAATTTAATTAATTTTTATGTCAGAAGCATTTTTAATTATGTAGTGATTAATAATTACTGTAATCCTACTCTAATCAAATATTAATATAAATTAGGATTAAATTCTGCTTGGAATTCAGCTATCATAATTGGTAATAGTCTCACATAGTTAATGAGTGTTATGGCTGGAATTCTGTCTAGGCATTATTTTTCAGTCATATTAAAATTTAATTAGATTATTTCATATTTACTAATTATTGAAATTTTCAGCAAATAATGACATGGCTACCTGTAATTTAAATTCTTTCAAATTTTGTAATCATTAAGTCTGTTAATTTTTGAAACTTACAATAAAAAACAAGATTAATCCATTTTAAAATTAAATCATGAAAAATGTATTAAGTCTACATTTAACACAATTATATAAACTTTATTAAAGTTAATAAAAATAAATAAAATTAATAACAATTATTAGTGAAATAATGATGATAATTTTATTGGTCTTATATTACATTCTGTCATCATTTTGATCAATTTAAATTGAAAAATTTTTAGAAAATATCAAAAATAATAAAATCAAACTTCCAATAATGGCTACCTCTAAACAACAAACCCCTTTCTGTTTCCATCAGTGGGACTTGTTCAGAGGCAATATTATTAAAAAGTTTTTTAAAGAAATTTAATCAGCTGTTTAAACTTATTTGAATAATTTTGGATAGAAGAAACAAGCTTTATTTCACTCTAAAATGATCATTCCACATTTCTCCCTATTGTCTAAATAGTTTTATTAGTTATGATTGAATACAATCTTTATTTAAAATTGTGTATTAACATTTATAAAATACAATACTTTATAGCAATATAAAATAAGTATTATTCCTTAAGTCATTTTGTTAATTATTCCAGTTTTGTTAGACTGAATAAGATAATACTTTCAAATAATATTTATGGATTTAAATTTATTTCATTAATGTGAAAAAAATTTAGTTAAATGACCATATTTTTCAAATTTTATTTTTTAATAGCTGAAGCAAACAGAATATCAGCTCCACAGTTTATTGCAACACCAAAAGATATAATTGCAGTTGAGGGAAATAATGTAACTCTGGATTGTGCTGCCAACGGTAATCCTCGGACAAGGATCGTCTGGTTGAAGGATGGAATTACAATAGACATGGCGTATGAAATTATTCGTTAGTTCTATAAAAGTAGAATGGAAGATTTTTTAGCATGTAAGATTAATGACCGTATTGTTCATTAAAAATAAAGTTATTTTCCTAATAGAGCAAATAATATAGTTTTAAATTAATTATATATTTTTTTTAACTTATAAAATTCTTTTATTTGGATAAGCTAGTTTAATGTCTTATGTGATTATTTTACTTGAATGTTAATATTCAATATTTATATACATTAGTCATTTAGATAGTAAGTTCATGATTGTTGGAATTGGAAATTTACAAATTGAGAATGTAAAGGAAAGTGATAAAGGAACATACATGTGTAGAGCAGAAAATCATGAAGATTCAGTTGATGCTAGTGCAACTCTTGAAGTTCAAGGTATTTTATATCTCAATGTATTTTATGTGATAGCTGGTGATTTTTGAATTAAAAGAAATTAATTTTAAACAGTTCCACCATATTTTGGAAAAAAGCCACAAAATAAATATGCTTATGAGAAAGAAGATTTGGAATTTGAATGTGAAATTCATGGTTTTCCTGAACCATCAGTACAGTGGGTCAAAGATGGTGATCTTATTATCCAAAGTGAATATTTTCAACTTATAAATGGGTACAATCTAAGAATTCTTGGTCTTGTGAGGTCTGACATGGGAATTTATCAATGTATTGGTTCAAATCCCAGTGGAAATACACAATCATCAGCTCAACTTGTTATTTTAGATCCAGGTAAATATGTGTGTACTTATTATTAAATGTTCAAGAACTTAGTTTTTCAGAGATCTAACATATAAAACATGTCTAAACAGATTGTATGAACTACAAGATATAATTAATTGGATTTATGTTAAGTTTTATCTACATGTATTAACATTAATGTAAATTATAATAACTTGGAAATATTTGCAAGCTTTTCAATTTAAATACTCTGCCAAACAACAATAATTAGGATGAAAGAAAAAGTAATTATTTATTTGAAAGATAGAATTTTAATTGCAAATCTAATGCTACATTAATTGCAACAATTTTTTTAAAAACTAATTATTTAGCTAATATATCTAGTCATTTACAAGACATCTCAAAAGTTAAATAGCTTTAGTTCTTGAAATGATTTTGTGTTTCTTCTTCAAGCATTTCATCTATCTATCATTTTTTTAGGAACAGATATAATAATGAATTATTATAACAGAAAATAAACTTCTAAGAATTTGTAAGATTTACTTTGAAATGTTATTACACTTATAAGTTATTATAGCAAGCATTTGTAATCTAATAGCCTTTAATCTGAGAACCCTAATCATTTGGCATATTTTGCAAAGACTATTTTGGAAAATCTAAAAATTTTGAATATGAAATTATTTGTTGTGTATCCATTGATAAATGATAAATTTTTACTGTTATATCTATTTCTTGTGCTTATTTACCACATTCAATATCCACTACTTGATATTTAGTTTGATCTATAAATAATTGAAAGAATAAGTGTAGATATTATGCAAATTCTTCTGTAGAAAAAATTAGAGACGAAAACAATCATCACATTCAAAAATATTATTATCTTTACAAGATCTGTATACTTTCCAGATACATCAACTGTTACATGGTGATTTTATCTCATTTAAAAGTATGATACAAATTATATATCCTGTTAATGCATGCCTTTTTCCAAGACACTGACTGAATGTTTGTATATTTATTTCATAGATAATACATGTAATATAATTGATTTTTTTCATCAATCATTATTACTCTTGCTGAATTTGTTAAATGACTATTTTCCAGAAAAATTTATAACATAGCTCCATTCATATCCTGATGCATTCATCAGGATATGAATGAAGCTAGGTTATAAATTTTTCTGGAATTAAGAATATTTAACTGTAATCTAAAATTCTTGCAATGTTGCTGTTATTTTTTATTACCAGAATCTGAGTTTTTAAATTATTTGTAATATATCAATTATTAAATTATCAATCAAATATTTTTATTTGCATTAAGGCTAAGCCTTGTTACAGGGGTTATTTTTCCAATGATATATTAATATACATTTGTTATCTATCAATCGTTTGATATACATCTTCAAAATCATCAATATCATCACAATAACCGTTTAATAGTAAATTTTGTCGTTATTCATCTTTTAAATATTTTACTTTAAGTAACATAATTAATAAAAAACAATTTTTCTAGTTTTATTAATTTATTACATATTTTTTAGTTCTTTGGCAATTTGATTAAAAAACCATTAATTTTATACATTTGAGCTAACGTAAGGTTGTTTAATTTAGTTCTAAAGTCTTGAATTTGCTTGTTATATATTAATTTTTTAATTTCATATTTTTGATTATATTTCTTTAGTCCTTCACAGTCTCTTAGTAGATGGTTCAAAGTCACTTGAGTTACACCAATAACATCTGTCTTTAGTAAAATCAAAATAAGTATTATTGATAAACAATGAATATTTATTAAGTCTTAATTGAATTAATAATCTTATTATATTCATACTGATATCAGCAGTTATGATATTCGAAGTAGATGGGATGTTTAAAATGTTGATATACCATGGATGGTATACAGACTAATATAATTATTTGTAATATATATTATATAATTGTTTTAATTATATTTCTATTAATTAATGTTGTTTTATTAAATTTAATTTACAAAATATCTTTTAAGTTCAAAATTCAATACTTTCTAATATTGATATTTTAACAATATTAAAGTCAATAATTTATTTTCTTCATTTTGATTTCATTAAAAGCTATATGAATATTTCTAACTAAAATTTTTATTTAAATCTTCTTCTGACTTTTTAAATTAACTGTGATACCCATTAACTATATGATTCTTAGACCCTTCAGTACCCACCTTCTATAATTCTGTTACTACCCCTCAAAATATCTCAGGTGCCCAACCTCACAGCAAGGATGTGCCTTCGTCACCTCGTGATGTAGTAGCGGTGATAGTATCCACTCGTTTTGTTACTTTATCATGGAAAGAACCTCTTCATACAAATGGTGAAATTGTTGCCTATTCAGTTTATTACAGAGAAGACCAATCAACTAGGTAAGAGATTTGTATGACTTTTTTATAATTATATAGTTCTTGTTTATGAAATTTAAAATTTTCTCAGGGAACGTGTAGTTAATACAACTCGTCCACGTTTAGAGGAAGTCAGTATTCAAGGTCTTCAACCTTCTACAAAATTTTATTTTAGAATTGTTGCTTACAACTTAAATGGTCCTGGTCAAAGTTCAGAGGAAGTTATGGTTGAAACACAGCCAGAAGGTATTTTAAAATAATGAAAAATGCACTTATTGTAATAGAATATTGATAGAACAATAAATACTTATATGAAATATTTATTTCAAATTAATTAAACAAAATCTTATATATATAAATTATAAAATGTATTTATAAAACAAATACTTTTCTTTGTAAGTTTAATATGTTATAAATTAAATATTTTACAATTTAAAATTTTATTATAAATACTTATGTAAGTTAAAAAATTAGTTTAAACTATTATTTTTTCATATCATTCCATCATTTTTTTATTATCTATAATACTATGCTTTAAAACTATACTAAACAATCATTTTAATGCATTCTTTTAGACTATGTACATAATATTTTGTTTGTTTATTTCTTTTTAGTTCATGTACCCGGATCTCCAGAAAGCTTACAAGCTACAGCAATTTCCCCTAATGCTATACAAGTTCAATGGAAAGCTCCAGATCAAAAGAATGGTCCAATACAAAAATACAAATTATATTATATGGAAGTTGGAACATCTGAAGAACATGAAATTACGACATCTGATACAAAATATACGTTATATGGCTTGAAAAAATATACTGATTATAATTTCTGGATTGTTGCATATAATCAAAATGGTCCTGGAATGAATACAGAAGAAGTGACAGCTAGAACTTTTTCTGATTGTAATTTTTAACATTTTAATGAATCTGAGAAATAGTTATGAAATTATTAAAAATATTAGAAAATTATTGATTAATTTAAATTAATTTATTAAATTTTATTGATAGTTCCTAGTGATACACCTCAGAATGTTACTTTGGAAGCAGCCAGTTCTACAGTAAGTACATTCTACTTAGTGATAATGTTGCTTACTTTGAGATAATTGAAATTCTTTTTATAGAGCATAATTGTAAGATGGGAACCACCAGCAAAAGATAATCAAAATGGAATTATTACTGGATATAAAATTCGATATAAGTTAAAAGGTAGCAGGAGAGGAGATACAGTAACAACAGATGGAAACAGACGTCTTTATGCTATAACAGGTAAATTGCCAAAATATGCAATAAAATGTGAAATTAAAAAGTGTAAATCCGTATTCTGAATTGTTTAAGATATCCATCATAACCTTGTTTAAGATCTAAACCAGTGTTTCTCAACTGGGGCAACATCATCTCCATGTGGGCGTTTTTCCATATTGGGGGGGTGATTAGTAACAATTTATATTTTTGGGAGCGAAAAACAGTTTTCTGGACGATATAGTAAAACATTATATTAAGAATAATTAGATATTTTATTCGTTATATCGTACAATAATTAAACAAATAACATTATACTAGTAACTAGTCTATTCAATGCAATACGAATTTGGCGTTAGTCTCAGCCCTCGGCATCAGAATTTTGAAGCTTGCAGTAAGGATTCACAGCGAATAATGTTTAATTTTAATTTTGTTAATTATATGAAAATCTAATACGTATTCTGAGTAAATAAATTTTTATTTGATAATCATATACTTTGTAAAAAAGTAAACTAATAAACCCAACAAAATTGTTTTTGAAGTGAAGGGGGCAATACTACATAACAGTTGTATTGAAGGGGGCGATGATTCGTTAGAGGTTGAGAAACACTGATCTAAACTATCCAAATGACATTCTCATCAGTAAGGTTGTTAAATTTAAAAAATCTATCTATATTTTATAGAAGTCAAAGTTTTACTTCTGGATTATATGTTCTTTTAGATTTTTTTTATTATTCCAAATTCAAATCCAAACAAAAAATTAAAAAAGAAATAAATTNGGTCAACAGGTTTTGCAGGAATTCCTCAGATGAAAATGGTACTAATTCTCGGGCTGTCCGGACGATAGCAGTATCGTACGCACGATGCAAGTATAGATTAGGATGTTTCAAATTTTTACAAGATATTATTATTATTTATTGTGAAATTTTGCCGCCCCTAAAAAGTGCCACCTGGGGTGGGCCGCCCCTGCCGCCCCCGCTACGGTACGCCACTGGTTTCAAGTCAAAGGTGATCACTATTAGTATAAATACTATTGGTTAATTTTTTTATTTATAAGGAATGATGAAGAGAAAAAATGTATCAATGATGCAAATAAATTTGTTTGTTATGAATGTTATAACATTTTTACACAAGCGAGAATACTATAATGTCTGACAAGAAAAAATTTATATTAAATATAAATGTTGAATCAAAATATAAATATAAAAATTAGTTGCAAATATTTTTGGAATTGATAATTATATTCTTGGATGATGATAAATGTACAATGTTTAAGTAATGCACATTTCAATTTACCAACATTACTAATTCATTAGGTATTTCTAACCTAATGAAGTAGTAATGTTGGTAAATTCAACAAATTTACATTCTAGGAAAATAATGACATTAGAAAATTACTTTCATTGAATGAAATGAAATTAGGAATTTAATTTTTGATTATTATTGATTCAAAATTAAGTCATCAGTTCAAATAATCTACATCAAATGGGATGAAACTTCTACTCACAATACGCATATGCATATTACATTTATTTATAGTTGCAATTTTTATCTTTATTGTACAACAACATATAAGTTATTAGTTCATTTGTTGAATGAAGTAGTTATAATCAATAAAATAAGAAAAAAACAGCAAAATTTTAAAACATTTTAATCAGAATTTTTACTAAATTTTATTAATTTTAATAAAAATACTTCTTAATAATACAGTAGTAATCAATTTTACACTCCTGATTATTAATTAATTAATTTATATTCAAAATTAATTAATTAATAATCAGGAGTGAAAAATTGATTACTACTGTCATGTCATGATCTATATAATTTATTATTATAATATGAATATAATAAAAAGTTATAGAATTATACTTAAGTGTAAATTTTATTTTCAGATCGATTCTTCCAAATGGTTCACTTTACTTTAGTAGTGTGTATCACACTCGTACAGAACGTCCTGATGAAGGAGTGTATCAATGTATTGCTACTATTAAAAATGTTGGCACTATTGTTAGTCGTTTAGCTAAACTTCAAATTGCTTGTAAGTCTCAAAAAAAATTCTCTTTATTAATATTTTTAATTACAATAATTTCAATTTATATTTTTAAAATAACTTATATAGTTGACATTATATAGAATTATTCAATGAGCAACATGTACTATAATTTTATGATTTTGTTGAAAACTGTCTTCCATTATAATTTATTACAAAAATTATAACCAATAGCATTTAAAAACAAGCATTAGATTTTTTAATTATTTGTATAAAAAATTTATTTTTAGCATTGCCCAGATTTGATGAACAACCACGTGACATGACAGTATTTCCTGGACAGTCTGCTTATTTTCCTTGTGCAATACAAAGTATACCTCCTGCCATTATTTACTGGTTGAAAGATGAGCAGCTATTTCAGTTGGATCATTCTCGAATGATTGTCTTGCCAAGTGGTGCTTTGGAGATTGATCATATTCAGGCCACTGATAGTGGTACATATCGTTGTAATGCATCTAATATCGAGAAATTTAGNTAAGTGAGAAATTTTCCTATGTTTTTTACTTTCAACTGATGAAATAAATTATTGCATTTTTTCACGTGAATGATTAATCAATCGACAGGTAACAAAAAAGTGCAAAAATCTGGAGGTCAAGTAGGACTTGTGACTAGCATTGGCACATCCTATCATCAATGTAACAGAACACTGATTTAATATAAACATCCATGTTTGAGTTTGTTAATTTTTCACATACTTTGCTTTCTGCCCAGTACATCAATTGGCAAAGCTTATAGCTTGGATATAACAAACCTCCTCGAGATTTGATGAATGTAAATGCCTTCTCTGGTGAAACATCCTCAGGTTTTGCTGTTAATATATTTTTGCATTCGTCACAACTGAGTGATGGCAGTAGACGATAAACAATGTAACCTACTAAATAATGTAGGATAAACTTAAATGTTTCTGGTGTACAATAATCATGATCTAATAATTCACTATCACTAGGATCTCCATAGTATAGGCTTGGATCACAAAGCAAATTTTCTAAATGTTCTTCCAATTATTCTTGAACTTCTTTAAATGGTTTTTTATGACTATGAAGAAGATTTTTTAAAGTAATAAGAATAGATCCAAGATCAGTTTGAACTGATGCTCATTTGTTAGGACGAACCAAACTGTACACAGTCATCAGTCTGTACAGGTATAAGAACTGTACTGTTGTGGGATGAGAATTGCTTCCACTTCCTTGTCTTATCATTCCAAAGAAATGCTAATTGAAAAGAAAACATAAGTTAAAGAGTTTAATACAAGATTATATAATCATTACACTAAGTCAGTTTTACCTCTAATGGGTCCTGATTAAAGTGAGCTGTCAGGATATAATATGAGTTTGGAAGCAATTGTTTGATGAGTGCTAAGATACTAGTCAGCGTCAAGCGTAGATTTTCTGCTGTCTGATGGCTCAAAAATCCCTTTTGATCAGTGCTTCTAATCTATAATCTGAATGCTTCCCATTTATTTAATCATTCTAGAGATTCTTCAATAACCTATTTTAAAAAAGTTGTTAAAAAACATTTATAGTTTTTGCTAGTGAATCATTACTATTACCTTGAGATCATTTGAATCATGTCTGATTCCTTCCTGTGGCAATCTACGATTTAAAGCATCAAAAAGAGCATTGATGTGACGTATGAAACTTATTGTAACATCTGCATTCTTTAGGATAGCAACCTCACGCTGTTTATAAAACAGCATAACATCAGCAAAAGTATTACTAAATATCTATAAATAAAAGTATTCTTATCAAGTCAAGATTATATAAGTAAAAAAAGTGTTACTTGAGCTGCCAACAATACACTCATTCTCTGGAAGTTATTGGGATTAACATGTATTTCTGTCACTTTGGGACATGCCTTTAATCTTTTTGGTAATTTGGAATCTTCATCAACAACTGCTTTAAAATGCTGCAATTCTACCCTTCCTTCAGGAAACTAAAAGTAAAAATGCAGAATAATGCAATGGCTTATATTATAAATTAGGTGAAAACACTTTATTTTCTTAGTTTTACCTGAAAGTATCTACTTTTCAAAAGATTGTGGTACATCAATAATAGCCAGTACTTGTCTATCTGCAGCAGGGTTTGTAAATGAGCATTGTATATTATTTGTGTCTGCACAAATTCTTAGAGCTTTTAAAGTTGCTTTGTTTGTGCTGGCACCATCACAAACTATTACATTGACTATTGCACCACACTTCTAAATGAATAATTGCTTGCAAAATAAGTTTTGCAACAGTAGAACCTGGGACAGAGCTTTTTGAACAGAATGTGCCAATACATTGTACCCAACTAGCAAAGTGAGGTCTGAACATAAACACTACGCCACGATCACCTGCTGTAAATTCACTCTGTGGCAATACAGAATTGTCACCACAATTAACAAGTCCAATCATTTCACTAGTAGCTTTTGAAAGTTCTATATGTTTTTGAAGTGTGATTTCATCAAAAATTAAAACTCCCTGGCATTCTGTTTGTGGAATAGTCTCCAATTTTGTCTTTAAAATAACAAAAAGTTCTTCATCAAATCCAAATTTGGCATTAATACCTCTGATATATTGATGCAGTGTAGACTGACAGGGTAAAGGCAAGTAATCATTATTTCTCAAAAATTCATAGACAGATGGTAACCTAATTTTTAAAAGTAAACAGTCAAGTAACCAATTAATGTCATATCTCATACCCTTTTTGCTTTTTATATGGCATGCTTTCAGCATGTGCTCTATTACAAGTTTCTGTCTTGGTGGTAAGGAATAAAGTTTATCAGCTGACAACTGTTTTATTTTAAGTTCAGTATTTTCTTGATGAAGCTTGAGATTTTCTGTTTGAAGAGTTTTCAGTTTCTTCCTATAGATCATCTTTTGCTTTCTGCACCAATATAAATCCTCTTTGATTTTTAACAATTCAGACTGCAAAGCAGAGATTTTATTGACATATAACAGCTCAGGATGCTGTGGGTAGTTGCTGCTTCAGATGTGGAGGGTTCTTCTATTTCCTTTTCTACAGTTGTTACTTGGGAGTGTGTATCATGCAAATCTAATGATTGATAAAAAAAAATATCAGACAATTAATCTTAAAGTATTTATAAGGAAAGATGGGCGACAGAGAGATAGCCCTCAGTGAATCACAGTGAATCTCACAAACCCAGCTCAATCTTTAGTTAACATTTTCCTTAAATATAGATAAAATAGATAGATAGATAGATAGATAAAATTTAATTTTATATTAAAACACAGGATCCGAGAGACGCACTGCGACTCAGGCAAGGGCAAAAAAATTACATGACTCACCGAGGATTAAGATTACATAAAAAACATAAATATTTATATTTACCTTTGGTATTGTCTTTTCGTGANGCTCACATATTTGTAAAATCTAAGTGACTCGTACAAGGAATTCCTATAAAACGGAATTATCAACAGTGTTATAGGGGGGTCGACTGTATTCTAATTTTGTATTCTGATCTGAAGGTAGATTAGAATAACTATAAAAAATGTTTAATCCAGAAGTAAAACTGGCTATTATAAAATATAAGCAGATAATTTTAAATAAGACTTGAATATTTTTTGAAGAAATGTTATTGAAGGTAATTTAAATCAAATTTAAAATGTGGTTAATCAATCTTGATACGTTTAGAATTGCCATTTAAAAATCTTTTACTGAAAACAAATTATATATTATTTATTTGATTTTAAACCTATTACAAGCAATTGTACAAATAATGAAATGGCCAAGTAGTCAGCATTATATAAAACAATACTTTGTAATTCTCATAATATTCCTTATCCTCATCCTGTATTATTTAAAACATTTGTTATTTAGGACAAACAAATGCTCTTTTATAAAAAGACATAAATAATAAATAAATAATAAGATAGTTTAAAAAAAACACAAAAAAATCATTGTCAATAATTATTTATTTTTATTTTACCTATTTTATTATATTATTAATACATTACAATGAATTTATAACTAACAGTAAGATTTAACTGTCAATACTATAAAAGATTATTAACTGAGTAGTAATAGCAGAATTTTTCACATAAATTATATATATATGTTTATTGACTATATTAGTTTATTTATAGAGATAAATTAATACAATTTCAAAATTATCTATTTAATTTAATGATATAACTTTTATTAACTTAATTTTATTATCAGGTTTGGAGAGAGGTGCACAATACAGTGTTAAAATATCTGCATTATCCATTAATGGAAGTGGACCAGCAACTGACTGGATGACTGTAGATACATATCAAAATGATTTGGATGGTAAGTTATTTATAAATATAACTAAAATCTACAGGTATTATATTAATACACACACAATATATTATCCAAACAAATAACAAAAACTTTCCAGAATTTTCCTTAATTAACTTTATGTTATTAATGTAGAATTATTGAATTAATAGTAATCTAAAGAATTGATGTAAGGAGTGTTATATTTAAATCTTATGTACACTATAGTAATTATAATTTTAACTTTTGAAATTAAAAGTATTTAGAGAAAAGATTGCTTAAAATTGAATTAAAATCTATAATATTTATATAACATAATAAGATTTGCAAGTTTTACTACTGCATATATACTATAAAATAATAGATCACTTTTATATACTACTAATCTGCATAACAATTTATTCATAACAGTACCTAAACTAAGATGAATTTGAGGGTCAGTGATAGGTCTCATCCGTAAACAAATCGTTGAGAATAGCCTAATCACTCTTACAGAAACTCTGGAAAAAAATTTCATTTCTGAGAATGTTCAAAGAGTATTTTTATAGAATCTTTTGATGTCCTGTTCCAACATAATTCCCAATGCACTTTTTGATTTGTTTTAATGCACTTTTTTTGAAGTAATCTTGTGGCCTGACTATCTCAATGTTTCCAAAATCCATAGATGTCTGGAAAGCCAATTCTTGAGTTTTTTCAATGCTTCCTCTTTGGAAGGAAAAGAACAGTGATGTTACATTGTTATTGAGATCATCCCAACAGGTGGTTTATGAGATGACTCAATAGAACAGAAGTTCAGCTTACAGCGAAAGATGACAGTTCAATATATTAAACAAAAATTAAATATTTAACATTTGAACTCTCGTGGTGTTCAAATTCACATATTATAATATAATTTTTTGAGGAAGAAGCTCTATCAAGATGTTACGAATGGCAAAATGCTTCAACACTGGATGAATTAATAACCAATCATCAACAGAGTGGATGACTCCAGGCTACAAGAAATAATGAAAATTTCTGTAAGAACATGTGATCATAATTCAAGATCTTGTGATATGCACTGAAAAAGTTTGTTCTTTATTTTCTTATGGACTAGCAAAAATAACTCTATATCTGGAAATCTTGAAGATACTTCTTGATGGAGATGTTCAGTACTGACCCAGGTTGGATTGAGAATGCTATTACTGGTGACTTGGATTCATGGTGAAATTAAGATACACTCGAGTGGATAGTGAAAGATAAGCCTAGACTGAAAAAAGTGCATGACTAATGATGATGGCATTTTTTGATGTGAAAGGAATTGTTCATTATGAATTTATTCCTGAAGGTTAATAGTCAATCAATATGTTTATCTTAACATTTTACATTGATTACACAAAGCAGTTCACCCAAAATGACCTGCAAAATGGCAAAAAAAATTTGGATTCTCCATTATGGTAACGTCAGCTCACATACAACTGTTACAAGCATTAATTATCTGGTTAAACTTGAAACAGCTATTCTTCTGTAACTACTTTGTTCCACTAATCTAGCTCCTAATGACTTTTGGTAAAGAAAAAGTTGAAAAAACTTCAAAGGAAAAATGTTTTAAACTCACAAAAGATGAATTGAAAACAATTTTACAATTCCTGAAAGAAGCTGATTTTTTGAAATGTTTCCTAAATTGGAGGAATCATTAGAAAAAGTGCATTGAAATTCAGAGTGATTATTTTGAAAAATATCAATTAAATTTCTTTATATTTTAATGCATTTTTATTTTTTGACTCATTCCTGAAACTTTTTGAACACACTTTATAATTAAATGTAATCAATCAATCAATCAATGCTAGCTTTTAATGACTTTCTTTTTATTCCATCTATTCCCCATTCACACTATTCTTGTCTCCTTATATTCTAGCTTATAATAAAATTTTGTACTTCTAAATTATAAATTTGCCTTTATTTATTTTTAATTTGTATTTTTATATTATAATAAAAGTTTCATCAAAAACAATTACATTTATTTTATATTGTTTTTTTAATTGTCTAATTGATTGATTTTTTAAAAATATTTTTACATTTTTCTTGTACTTTCTTAAAGTAATTTAATAGAACTTAGCTTTAAAATTATATGATTGTGAAAATTCTTAATTAAATAATGAAGCATTATAAAGAAAGCATGATCTAATGGATTAGTATAAGTTGAATCACATACAGTAAAAAAAATATTCTAATATGATTTATATAATTATGTATGTGATCATTATATTATACAGAAGGAAGAGTTCCTGATCAACCTAGTTCTGTCAGAGCCCGACCAACAGCTAATACTATTTTTGTAAGTTGGACACCGCCACGTAATCAAAATATTATGATAAGAGGTTATACGATAGGATGGGGTATTGGATTTCCAGATGTTTACACCAAAGTCCTCGATGGAAAACAGCGATATTACACAATTGAAAATTTACGTAAGTTCTACATTTATTTTTTACATATTACATATTAAACTCCTCATTTGATAAAGATTAATTTTTTAGAACCATCTGCAGAGTATGTGATTAGTTTAAGAGCATTTAATCAAGTTGGTGATGGAAGACCTATATATGAAACTGTGAAAACATTAATAGAAAGCAGTAAGTTTCAACATATTAATTATTAAATAATAAGTTTTAGTAGGATTATAGTAATGTTTGATACAGCTGCATAACAATTTATATTTTTTAATGTAGCACCTGAACCTATCATTCCAATGTTACCACCTGTAGGTCTGAAAGCTATTGTCTTGTCTTCAACGACAGTAGTATTATATTGGACAGATTCCACATTACCTCGAAATCAAGTTATTAATGATAACCGTTATTATACTGTTCGGTATACTGGATCTACTTATTCATCCAATCCAAAATATCGGTATTTTAATTCTACTGATCTCAATTGTATGATAGATGATTTAAAACCAAATTCACAATATGAATTCTCTGTAAAAGTAGTTAAAGGCCGACGAGAAAGCACATGGAGCATGAGTGTTTTAAATTCTACTCATGAAGCAGGTATATTTTTATTTTTAATTTCTTAATTTATACAAGTTTTTAACAAAATTGTAGTTTTTTAAAATGAAATTTTTAAAATTAGCACCTTCTTCACCACCTCGTGATATAAAATTAGTGGAAGCTGATTCAGCTCTTACAATTCAATGGCAACCTCCCAAGCAACCAAATGGAGAGATAATAGGTAAATGATAGCATATGATGTAAATAAACAAATTAATTACTGTATACATAGATTAATAAAGGATCATTAAAAAATTATAAGATGAATAGGTAGGAAAATAAAATTTGCCAATAACTAATTAATTTTTCTTTATAATGATATAATTCAAGGAGTAAAGTAAATAAAGTTATTCTGCTTTTAAAATTATATAAAATTACTTATATAGATTTTACATACATATATGAATGCATAATCAAAAGATCTTTACCAAATTAATTTACATGTGAAAATAATATCAAATATAGTTATTTTCCATTGACATAAATATATTTTTCTGTATTCTTATCATGCATGAGAACAGAAAGAGAACTTTTCTTTTTATATTTTATTTAGGGATTTTAAGTTCATTCAAATATTATTTTTTTCTTAAATCCTATATCTTTTGTAATAATCTTTAAAGTCAAGAAAATTTCAAAATTATGAATAACAATCTGGAGAATATTGCATATAGAATTTAAGTAACTCTTTCTAAATCAGTAAATATTGACTTAGTCATTATGATAATGTGACATAATCATTGCAAAATATTGTCTTGTGTATTTTATTAAAATATTGATTATTTGAGAATTTACCATTGAACATTTTATGATTAATTGGTATATTTCTGTGAAACTTTTTCATAAGTTTACTTTATTCTGTTCTGAAATCAATAGTGTGACAAATTCATATCATAATAATTGATTTCTAAAATAATCAGAATTTGCAGTTATGACTGAACTAATAAAGACTAGCAGATTGGCAACATAACTTCCAGATTAAGGCTCTAATTGTTAAATTTAGTTAACACAATTATAACAAAGATTTATTAATTGTCAAAATCTTCAAATTTCTTGGTGTTTTTATTAATTAGTGATTAATTAAGTATAATTTTATATACTTTATTTATTTATTATGTATATGTATTAAGTATGTTAAGAAATATGAACAAAAAGAATCAAGATAGATCTTCACATTTATTTTTCTTTCAATTATCTTAGATAACATGCAGTAATGGTTGTAGTAAAATGTTAAAATTTCAATAGCAGATTAATGTTTGTGCCAATATTAACTCTGTATCAAAAATTTTAGTTAAAAATATTGTAATATATTCTTTTATTAATTTAAGTCAACTTCTATTTCTTCCTTTCTGTATATTAAGAAACAGAAAATTGTAATAAATAAAATATAACACAGTAAATTTTTCTGGATAAATTGTTACAAAAATGAAAATTAAAATATAAATATGTAAATTAATCTGATGTATTAAAAATCATCATTTTTTTTATAAGAAAACATTTTAATCAGTTCGGATTTACTTACATGTACATTTTTAATGAAATTTAAAATAATTTTTCTTACAGGTTATGTAATCTTTTACACTACTGATAATACTCAACATGATAGAGATTGGATCATTAAAAATATAAACAGTAATCATCTGTCAGCTGCTGTTGACAGTCTTACATCTGACACTACTTATTACTTTAAAATTCAAGCAAGAAATAATAAAGGATATGGCCCGTTTTCATCAGAAGTGTCATATCATACAAAGAAAGGTGAGATATCAAAATTTCATAGTAGTTATGTTTAAACACTAACATTCTTCACTTTTTGCTTGTACTCAGAATTGGCATATAACATAATTATATTGAAATATGCTAGTTTATAATTTAATTACATTAAATATAAAATTATTTTATAAAACATAAATAATGATCTATACTTTTTCACACAAATTTCAGATGACTTGTACGACAATCATTTATATTAGTAATCAAGTCAAATTAAAATTAAGTACAAATTAAATCAATAATAATCATTAAGGTTCAGCAACAAAGCACAAGGCTAATAATTTTCAAGGAGTCAGTTTATTATTTGATAAAATATTTTTTGAACTGTTTGTCTCATTATCAGATCCACTCTCAGTAATAACATTAACAAATTGAACATAAGATATAGAACAACTACCAATTAAATAACAAAAGAATTTAAATGATTTCTAAACATTTCAATAACAAGATGATTCAAAAACCTAATGATCAACATTTCTGGTAAAGAACATAATTTGTTAGATTTTTGTCAATTCATTAAATCATAAACTAACTCCTTTAAAATTATTAACCTTGTATCTTATTAATGATAAAATTAGAATTACTTGTCAACAAAAGGTTCAACAACTTAATTTTCCACTTGTTATTTAGATTAATTTGTTCCAGATATGTTTAATATCATTAGACAAAATGATTAAGAAATGAACAAAAGTACAATAGTAAAAGCCCTATTATTGTTCCTTGATGGATTTTAATGCTATATGATAAACAGAAAATATAAAGTCCTAAAACTTAAAATAAAATTTTAAATCTGATTTTTATATTTATGAAGAAAATCATATGGTCTGATTTCTATTGGAGAAAATAAATTTATCAAAGTTGTCTACCATTTATGTCAGTATATAAGTCAATACAGTAGAGTCTCGAAAACTCGGCACTCGATAACTCAGCAGTCTGGATAACTCGGCCACACCCTGGCAGGGCAAAAAAATCCTTAGTTAATTAATTTTCATTATAGACAGCTTTATGCCTCATAAAGTATTTTTCTGAGATCTGTCTTATCAGGTAAATTACTGTACATATAGGGTATTCATTAATTTTCATTTTCATGTAGTAAAGGCTCTATGCCTTCATAAAGGATGTACTTTTCCTTTGTTTAAGGGTATTTGGGCAGTTTATTCTTTGTTGTATTCTCAAGTAAACAATACATACAAGTACAGTACAGTATTTTCTGAGGAAACACTCGTACTTATTTTTTTTAACCCCATTCCCGATAACCTGGCATTTTCACAAACTCGGCCACCCTTCAGTCCACATTAGGCTGAGTTTTCGAGACTCTACTGTATTTTAAAAATCTCTAAAACTAGAGGTCAACTTATATGGACTTATACTTAGAGGCTAACATACTGTATATAAAATGTTATCACACTGTGGAAGAGTTTGCAAATGGATAGGTGCTCCATAACAAACTCTATGTACTGTTTATTGTAACTCCAGCAGGCCATCACAAATATTTCCAAATAAACCTCATGTTTCATAAACTTATTTAATATAGGTAATTAATGTGACAACTGGGACACTGTGCAATTTTGTTGTATCATGATAGAATTGAGGCAGAGCATTGCATTTTTATAACTAAAAATTTTTGTTTTAAAACTGGATCATATTTTTTATATTTGTTCAATAAGCACAATGTAGCATACAGGAGTAGTAGCATATGGGAAACTGAAGGACAATGCTGACGGACAAGTAAAAAGATTTGCTAAAGTGAAGTTTAGTTCCGTCAGAGTCGGTAGATTAACTGGTATTTCGACTTCCTATCTTTGCTCGTTGCTAAAATCAACTAGAGACAAATGTTACCACCAGGGGCACTGCAAGAGCGCTAGATCAAATCGCTGTGAGGACGAATGTTTTCTTTTTATTGAAAGATATATAACCGTCGAGTTTGATTTCATAATTTTTTATATGCATTTTACTATAAGAATGAAAAAGCTTTTATTTAAACCCAAAACCAGCTTTATGGATAAATAAATGACACTTAATAAAACATTAAACACCTTCCATCGCTGAGAAATGTTTATTTAATAAAATACGTTCGAACTCATTTACACCTGAGGATGGTTTATTCCATGAGGCTGAAAATGTTAGTGTTTTATTAAATAAACATTTCTCAGCGATGGAAGGTGTTTAATGTTTTATTAAGTGTTTTAAAAATGCTGAGTTTGATATTTAGTTAAATAAATGACAAGGAACAAAACTGACACAATAGTATTATTATTATTAAATTGTGCTATTATGTGAATTTATTATACGTTAAAAATTTATTGTACATACAAACAAATTATATTATACATATTAATAATAATTATTATTTTTATTATTTGCGTTATTAAAATTTACTTTAAGTGAGAAATTTTTCTATGGTTTTTACTTTCAACTGATGAAATAAATGATTGATTAATCGTTCGCGTGAAAAAATGCAATCGACAAGTAACAAAAAAGTGCAAAAATCTGGAAGTCAAGTAGGACTTGTGACCAGCATTGTCACATCCTATCATCAATGTAACAGAGCACTGATTTAATATATTATCCATTATTGAAAAATAAACATCCATGTTTGGGTTTGTTAATTTTTCGCATACTTTGCTTTCTGCCCAGTACATCAATTGGCAAAGCTTATAGCTTGGATATAACAAACCTCCTCGAGATTTGATGAATGTAAATGTCTTCTCTGGTGCAGCATCCTCAGGTTTTGCTGTTAATATATTTTTGCATTCATCACAACCGAGTGATGGCAGTAGACGATAAATAATATAACCTCCTAAATAATGTAGGATAAACTTAAATGTTTCTGGTGTACAATAATCATGATCTAATAATTCACTATCACTAGGATCTCCATAGTATAGACTTGGATCACAAAGCAAATTTTCTAAATGTTCTTCCAATTGTTCTTGAACTTCTCTGAATGGTTTTTTATGACTATGAAGAAGATTTTTTAAAGTAATAAGCATAGATCCTGGATCAGTTTGAACTGATGCTCGTTTGGGAGGACGAACCAAACTGTAAACAGTCATCAGTCTGTACAGGTATAAGAACTGTACTGTTGTGGGATGAGAATTGCTTCCACTTCCTTGTCTTATCATTCCAAAGAAACGCTAATTGAAATGAAAACATAAGTTAAGGTTTAATACAAGATTATATAATCATTACACTAAGTCAATTTTACCTCTAATGGGTCCTGATTAAAGTGAGCTGTCAGGATATAATATGAGTTTGGAAGCAATTGTCTGACGAGTGCTAAGATACTAGTCAGCGTCAAGCGTAGATTTTCTGCTGTCTGGTGGCTCAAAAATCCCTTTTGATCAGTGCTTCTAATCTGTAATCTGAATGCTTCCCATCTATTTAACCATTCTAGAGATTCTTCAATAACCTATTTTTAAAAAGTTGTTAATTAAAACATTTATAGTTTTTGCTAGTGAATCATTACTATTACCTTGAGATCATTTGAATCATGTCTGATTCCTTCCTGTGGCAATCTACGATTTAAAGCATCAAAAAGAGCATTGATGTGACGTATGAAACTTATTGTAACATCTGCATTCTTTAGGATAGCAACCTCACGCTGTTTATAAAACAGCATAGCATCAGCAAAAGTATTACTAAATATCTATAAATATATGAGATAAATAAAAGTATTCTTATCAAGTCAAGATTATATAAGTAAAAAAAAGTGTCACTTGAGCTGCCAGCAATACACTCATTCTCTGGAAGTTATTGGGATTAACATGTATTTCTGTCACTTTGGGACATGCCTTTAATCCCTTTGGTAATTTGGAATCTTCATCAACAACTGCTTTAAAATGCTGTAATTCTACCCTTCCTTCAGGAAACTAAAAGTAAAAATGCAGAATAATGCAATGGCTTATATTATAAATTAGGTGAAAACACTTTATTTTCTTAGTTTTACCTGAAAGTATGTATTTTTCAAAAGATTGTTTCGCATACATTTTAAAATATGTGGTACATCAATAATAGCCAGTACTTGTCTATCTGCAGCAGGGTTTGTAAATGAGCATTGTATATTATTTGTGTCTGCACAAATTCCTAGAGCTTTTAAAGCTGCTTTGTTTGTGCTGGCACCATCACAAACTATTGCATTGACTATTGCACCACACTGTTCTAAATGAATAATTGCTTGCAAAATAAGTTTTGCAACAGTAGAACCTGAGACAGAGCTTTTTGAACAGAATGTGCCAATACATTGTACCCAACTAGCAAAGTGAGGTCTGAACATAAACACTAGGCCATGATCACCTGCTGTAAATTCACTCTGTGGCAATTCAGAATTGTCACCATAATCAACAAGTCCAATCATTTCACCAGTAGCTTTTGAAAGTTCTATATGTTTTTGAAGTGTGATTTCATCAAAAATTAAAACTCCCTGGCGTTCTGTTTGTGGAATTGTCTCCAATTTTGTCTTTAAAATAACAAAAAGATCTTCATCAAATCCAAATTTGGCATTAATGCCTCTGATATATTGATGCAGTGTAGACTGACAGGGTAAAGGCAAGTAATCATTATTTCTCAAAAATTCATAGAGAGATGGTGACCTAATTTTTAAAAGTAAACAGTCAAGTAACCAATTAATGTCATATCTCATACCCTTTTTGCTTTTTATATGGCATGCTTTCAGCATGTGCTCTATTATAAGTTTCTGTCTTGGTGGTAAGGAATCAAGTTTATCAGCTGACAACTGTTTCATTTTAAGTTCAGTATTTTCTTGATGAAGCTTGAGATTTTCTGTTTGAAGGGTTTTCAGTTTCTTCCTATAGATCATCTTTTGCTTTCTGCACCGATATAAATCCTCTTTGACTTTTAACAATTCAGACTGCAAAGCAGAGATTTTATTGACATATAACAGCTCAGGATGCTGTGTAGTTGCTGCTTCAGATGTGGAGGGTTCTTCTACTTCCTTTTCTACAGTTGTTACTTGGGAGTGTGTA